GTTGATGTCTTTTGTTTTGCTACAATTCTTGGATGTTCATAGCCTGGACCATTTTGCGCCAAAGTGGCAAATTCTAATTCATCATAAATTCCATAGCTTTCCTCATTTTCAATCCCATTGCTTGGACCAAATACAGATAAAGGTCTTTAAAAAAAAAAAATTACAAAAAAGAATTTATTGAATTTAACAAAATGTAAAAATTTTAATTATCTTTTAGTTTGAATAAAAAGTTTTTGCTATATTAATTGTTTGCATAAAAATAATTCTAACTAATTAAATTTCATACACACACACACACAGACACACACACACGTACACACACACACACACACGCACACACACACATACATAGATACATGCATACGCACAAATACACAAAAAGTTGACTGACATCGCAAATTCAAAAATTAAAAGTTAAGTGTCTTTCATCCTTCAAAGGAAAAGGAAAGACTTTTTTTAAATTAATAATTAAAATCTTTCCAAAAATTTCACAAATTAAACCTAGCATGTTCTCTTGAATATTCATCCACTGATCCTTCAACGTTTCCCAATTCATTTTCCGAATTTCCAACTTTCGACCTTTGCCCTTCCTTTACTAATTTCATTGATGATGATGTTAATGAAAATGGTTTTATCCGTCCGGAAACTTTTTGGTTATTTTTTTCTTCTTCTTTTATACTGTATGCAGAGTTACCAATTTGTCGAGCACATGATGGCGGCTAAATTATCTTTTTTCTTTTTTCCATTTAAATAATTAAAATTATTTCGTTATTTCTACATTTTCTCTTTCATTTTTATATTTTTCGTCGTTTCTTTTAACATTTTTTCAAAAAATGTTTAAAATATTTTAAAAAAATGAAAATAAAAATTTTTAACAAAAACTTTACAAATTGGCAATAAATTGAAAAAGAATTTTTTTTTTTTTGTCCCAAACAATTTACCGTAATTCCATTACACATTCCTTCTTTTTTCATACACATTTGAATTTGACAAAAGAACCAAACACCTGGTCGATCAGCAAATTTAAATACCATACTTTCACCATAAGCTCGTTGCAAATCAGCTGAATATCGTATACCGGTAATGAGTATTGGATCAACCGAACACCTGTATTATCTTTTTTTTTTTCATTATTTTTGAAAAAATCCGTCATAAATTTTTATAAAATTTCTAAATTAATTAGTAAAAACATTTTATGAATTTTTTAAAAGAATTAAATTTTATTACTAACCCATTTGAATCAATAACTTCGCTACGTTTACCAAATCCATCCGTAACATAGCAATTATTAATAAGTATTCCATACATTTCTACAAATAATACAAATTATTGATATCAATACGACCAAATTATTATCAATCTATAATACTGATAAGAACTTTGGCAGCTTAATTAATATGGAAAAATGATAATTAGTTCGCAAAATTAGGTAGTAAATAATCCTACAAATGATTCTAAATTATTGATATTGATAAGATCAAATTATTATCAATTTAATATTGATAAATTTTCAAATGACAAAACTTTTATAACTTAATTAATATGCAAGAGTGATAATTAACTCTTAGAATTAAACAATCCCAGATGATTCAATCAGGTATGATAAAAATAAAATTTGCTTACGATCATCACAATGCCATTGATGAAGAACACGATCACCGATTCGTGCATATTTAATTATTGGACCAGCAGGTTTACCGGACTCAAGATCATCAATACTACTTGCATGGATACTGTAAGAGCAACCTGGAATAGGATGACGTGCTTCCATTTCTGTCGTTGCTATCATGCTGAAATTATCATTCATTTCATTGATGATATGAATTTCTATTTTACCTAATTATCATACCTTAAATTATTGATAAATCTATGTTAGCTTAATTGTGATAATTTAGATTATCAACAAATTAAAAATCCCAATGTTTTATCATTGTCTAATTACTGTAACATCAATGATATGTACAACTTTTTATAAGGTACATATTTATGATTAGTCTAAATCAGAAAAAGTAACAAAAAAAAAAAGTACAAATAAAAATCCTTAATGTATTACTATTTTGTTTTTAAAAAATTTTTTGAAATATTATACAGTAATTATTTTGCATATAAGTTAATCAATAATAATTTAATTGCACAATTACCGTTCTGATTATTGTTATATTTAATTTTTGATATAATGTTTGAATTGAGTAAAAGAGTACCATTGAATAATGAAAATAGGAAAAACGACAAAAAAAAAAAAAAAAAGAATTTAAAAAGAGGACGAGGAATAAAAGAGGAAGCAGGAAATATGGCCCAAATTAAAATTTTTTTTCTTTCTTACCTTCCCTCTCTCTCTCTCTCTCTCTCTCTTTATCTCTCTTTTTGACCTACTTTTTAAGGATTTAATTCATAGTCATATATGGATATATATATAAAGAATGAATGTTATAATTATATCTGTCAATAAGATTAAATTTCAAATTTCACTCCTTCCTTAGCAATATATATATTTATTATATAATAATTTCAATTCATATTTGCGGAATGAAATTATTTTTGACATTAAAGAAAAGAAAAATTTTCATTCGTAAATTTGTTTGAATTGAAATTTGCCAAATTTAAATTTTGATTTTTTCTATTTCTAAAATTTTCTAATAATTAAAATTTGTTAGATTTTTTTTTTCTTTGTAAGTTTAATAAAATATACCTAACACCAAATTTAGCTGTAAGTCCATGGCTAGCTTCTTCAAAAAAACATTTGACATGAAATGCTTGGTCAACTTTTGTAATAAATAACTGAAAACATTAAGTTAGATTTATTGATTAAAATATGCAAAGCAATTTCATCAATCTTATATTAATTAAATGAACAATTATTTTAAATGCTAAATGAATTGAAAAACGGAATATGAAACTTTTTTTGATTTGTAATCAATTTTAAAGAATTAAATTAAAATTTTTTTTAAAAATTTATGAATAATTTAGCAAAATGTTGAGATAATTTTAATTAAGCAAACCGTATGGAATGAAACAACTATCGTAATGCCGTAATACATTCCTCGTGGATCAATCTGAAATAATTTCAAAAACTTGAAATTATTCAAAGTTTAAATTGAAATGAATGAAATTGAAATTGTCGTATCATTAAATTATTATCACTTACAGAATTATATGACAATCTTATGTCAACAATAATATCATACTCATTACTATCTATTTATTCCAAGAAAAAAAAAGATGAACTTTGACCTAATGTTTAACAACCAGTTGAAACACAATTAAATGAATGTATTAAAAGTTTCAAATTGATTATAAATTATTAATTGGTCATGATTAAATAATTCAGACAGTCAAAATTTCATAAATTTCAAAGTGTTGACTGTCAAACTCCCAACTGATTGTCATTAAATTAGTTTTGTTAAATTAACACATTTAAATCCATTTAAAAGATTAATTATATATGATTATATTGGACAATTGTAGTGTTTACGTGTGATAAATAAACCGGATAACGAGATTTTATTCCGGTTAACTTACGGATCGTAAGCTTTTCATGCCACATGTTCCAAATTTTAGGAACATATGTGGTTTTGTTGTCCTCTCTTGAGCAAAATTATCCTTTATGCATGCTGGATTATCCGCTTTTCCTTTTGCATAAATTCGACCTGTGAAAATTTTCAAAAAAAATTTATAATTTCTTGAAAGAAAACAAAAATACGAAGATCATTGAATCATTTAATTGCATAGAATGTGATAAGATATCATTATTGATTGATTTTAAGGTTTTTCTTTTGATAAGTATTACTTTCAAACTACCAGAATTTTTCCTTTTTATGATATTTCTCTATAACAGTATATACAATATAGTTTCAATATTACTAATTGTGATTCATAATTAGTAATTAAGGTATACACTAAATTGTTTTGGTGGTGCCAAATAGATGTAATTTCATGCTAGCAGATAGCAATGATAGAGTACTAATTCTATAATTCAATACTAATATACTAATAATCAAAAATAATGTGACTAATAGAAGTGATCTTTTCAATTTTAATTTAAATTATTAATGATAATATGGAAAATATTAGTATTTCATGTTTTATTTTATTAATTAAATAAATTAAGCTAAAAGTATTACCATTAAATATTTTTCGTGTTTTAACAAAAATACGAATTTCTTCCTCTAAACATTCGATATCTGGATCACCAATAATATCATTATCAATTCGTACTGCTACTGTATAATCCATCACTAGTAACAGTATCTTGAAAATATACTTATTCATTTATAATTATAATGTAAACAAAGATAGCTGATGGATAAAAGGATGTTTACTTGTTTACTTTTTTACAATGATAATGTGAACAACGATGGCAAAAGGAAATAAAAAAAAAAAAAATAGAAAATTCTTAAATAAAGATTTGATGTATAAATTGTTAATCAAAATTTAATAAATTTGTTGCTTCTTTTTTTAGCATTTTTTTTAAAAAATTAAAATTTTAATGAAGCACTTTGAGTTATTCAAATTTTCCACTTTTTTTTTCAATAAGTTATTCAACAAATTATTTACCGTTGCTAGCATTCGTATGAAAAACAAATAATTCATCGCCTATTTTTCATAGTATAATAATTCCTGGAAATTTTCTTGATTACTGATATTTCATCTTGAAATATATACAAATTTTTATCTAACATTCGATAAAGTTATTCAATGTACAATTTGCAATAGCACAAAGATTACCTAAATTGAACATACAATTAGTATTATCAATTTCAATATTATTAAGGAAAATAGATCGAAAATTTTTCTAATTTTAATTAAAAAAACGAAATGAAATACTTCGTTTTTATGGAAATATATTTTAACAATATAATTTGCCTTCCTTATTAATTTTATTAATTATTAGCATCAATACATTTTCTATTTTCGAATAAAAAACGATAAATATTCTATGAAGAAAGCAAAAAATTTTTATTTTCTTTGTTTCTTTTTTCAAATTTAATATTTTATAACAAATTACTAAAAGACTAAAATCATTTTATATATTATAATAACTATAAGAAACAAGAAAAGGAAAACATTTATAAATATATATATTAACAAATATTGGACTAAATAACTTGAAAATGTTATGAATAAATTTAATTAATTCTTAAAACAAAAATAAAAATAATAGAACGGATAATTGAACTGTTTACTTGTTAATAGCAATAGAAACATCCACGATAACTAAATCAATCACCAAAATATCGAAATAATTAATTAATATAAATCTATGGAAAATATGATCAAATGAATTCCCCACTGACAATCTTAATGATACATGCAACGATCATCTGATGAATAATGACGAAATGATGATCGGATGACAATTATGGAAGATGTTCGCAGAAAACTTACAATGAAAATAGGAAGGTATAATGGATTGATCTTCTTTCTGGAATATACCGCCTCAATCATCCTCATCTTCATCCGAATCTATCATCATCATCATCATCATCATCATCATCATCAACTTCATCCTCACTCAATCATTTTATTTTTTTCCTTCATTTTTCCCCCGCCTCTCATATCGCCGATATATGAATTACGCACTACACATTTCGTTAATAATTATTATTGAAAATTACAAATCAGAAAAAAACTGAAATAAAATATCATTTTCAAATGTTACTCATTCATTCGCTTCAACATGTCTTTCCTTTTTAATTTTTTCTTATCAATAAAAAAATTTAATCATTATTATTGTTTTTTTTAATTTCAATGGGAAAAAACTGTGAAGACTTCAAAACTCACTACGATAGTTTTTTTTTCAAGTACGAAAGTACAAAGATTGAAATGAAATTTATTTAACATCAAAAATCCGTGAACGAAAAGAAAAGAGGAATTTAGAATTAAATAATAATAATAATAATAATAATAATAATAATAATAATAATAATAATAATAATAATAATAATAATAATAATAATAATAATAATAATAATAATAATAATAATAATAATAATAATAATAATAATAATAATAATAATAATAATAATAATAATAATAATAATAATAATAATAAAATTTTTCACCATCTGACTTCTTTTGATTTAATGCTTCTTTTAGCTTCGAATGTCATTTGATATATATGTCTCTGAACAAAGATTCAAAATTGCA